ACAATTTTTTTTCCATCTCCATATGTAGTGTCACCATACATACATACATACAGGTTCCGGCTCTATCGTTTGAAATGAATGCACGTAAGCTCAACTTCACGACTTATTCATGTAAGGCTATAAACCCGATCACACCAACTCTTAACCAGCAAGGAGATGTGAAACAAGGGCATACACATTCTGGTGTAACCTGTGTGACACCATTTCAACTACAGTGAAATTCTGTTGTACTTTTCCCTGAATATTAACCAATGCACACCACCTCTAAATGAGCTTAAATCATTATATACAGGTGAAGTGTACAGGTTTAAATCTTGTGTGCACAGGTCTTCTGTTTTGTTTTCCTGAGACTGATTTATCAGTGATATATTTCAGTTTTATCTGGTGAGCTATCACACTAGGTTAACTTAAAATAAAAAGGCTTGTTTATACCTGTTTAAATAAAGTAATATTAACATTGTACATGTTCACGCAGACAAGGCTTTGTATGTCCATAAAACAGATTGCTTTTGATTTAATTATGTTGAAGGAAAGAGAAATTATAGTTTAACCTATGGGGGTAAAAATGAGGATCACTGAGAGTATTTTAAAGTAGTTTTAATTAATTTCCTAAATATGTTTACTGTGCAATTCATACAAAATTGATATTCCTATAACCTCCCTCAGTGAAGCAAGCCTACTTCAAGCTGTGATAAGTACTCCTTGACATTTAAGTACGTAGAAAATCTTATACCTTTAACTGTATGCATCAATTAATTTTTTCTTCTCACAATGTATACCAACCCAAAACTTACCACAAAGGTAAAGCATCAGACGAGAAATTTAGAATTTTGATTGAAAAGGTTATAGAAAGGTTTAAAAATCTAAGAATTCAGACATGTTTCACATTATAAAAATTTGAAGGAATAATGGACATATTTTTAAAACCTCATGGAAGAAGCACATTTTAAAAAAATTAAAGAAATTAAGAATTTAAAGGGAATAATAAGGGAAAGGGCTGATTTCAGATGGTTGAAGGCAGTTACTTTTGCATGAGGTACTTCTAATTTCTTTAAAAATATATCTTTAATGTTGGACAACAGATTTGGACTCCAAGCAAACCTCTTACTATATAGCAAATATCACATAAAGACGTAACTTTCAAACAGGATCAAACTCTAATTGTATTAACTAAAAGCAACAGATAACTGGATTTTGTTCATCATAGATGACTGATTTGTTTTTCCAAAAATATACCTGAAAGTAATCGTTCTCATTGGGAATTGTTTCAGTAAAACAGTTAAAAATAATCTGTAGACAAATGAAAACTCTCCAACCCGAAAGATCATGCATATAATCACAATTTCACCCCCCCCAAATAGCAATGTGTTTTAAATGTTTCTGTTAAAACACTAAAAAAAGATCAATACAAAAGTTTAATGATGTAGTCTCAAGCTTGCACACACAGGAAGCGTGCTACCCATAAAATTAGGGGAAATAGATTAGCAATCTAGAGACCAGATGGTTGTATTTACTTGCTGACATAACACTGCCAAATGTTCCTGAAGTTCTTTTTCAAATTTTTCTTTCACATTACATTATCAGCATAGGAACTGATCCTGCAAACATATACATGTACAGTTCAATAAAATTACTCATTTGAGTAGTCCTATTGACTTTACTACAAGAGCCTTCATTCACAGAACCAGGCTGTCATCTTAGGGTATGCGTACAGAGTTGTAAATTCTCTCTGCCTGCCCTGAATTGTGCAGACTAAATCTGGAAAAAATAATAATAATAAAAAAAATGTGTGTGATTTTCTGCTGGGTTTGTACTTTGCAAGAGAGATGGCCATCTATGGAGCAAATGCTAAAAGTCATTCCACGTCCATAAATATATTGCCTGTTTCTGTGTAAAGCTTTAATTTGGCATAGCCTAAAGTAAACTGAAATCTTAAAATGATTTACCAATTGAAAGCCAAGGAGAAAAAAAAATATCAAGTTAGTAACAAACTACTTTAACCAGAACATTACTACCGACATAAGTTTATGCTTTATAATTTTAATGAAATTCTCTTATAAATTGCTAAATTTCACTAAATTTCTGAAAAATGTATGTGCTTCCAGATACTTGTCCAGAGACATTATTCTCTGATGAGAAAAGAAACTTCTCCCTTCTCTTCCCTCTAGTTACTAGTTCTGACTGGGGCTCGTTTAGAGCCCCTTTTTCCAACACATTTTTTTCCATTTTTCTTGCCATCACCCTTTGCTTCTCCTCAATTGCTTGCATGCTTCCAAACATCTCATTTTCTCGGGTTCCTTTTCATTATGTTTTTACATAATTCACAATGTCACCTGCCTCCAGGCACTCCATTTCCTCCCCTATTTTTTTTTTTTCTCTATTTGCACCATCTGTGTGTGTGTATATATATAACACAGGCTCTTAATTTCCTGAAAGTGGTTTCATGCTGGGGTGACCCTGTTCCTGCCCTGCAATTAATGAGTTTGCTTTCCAGGACTACAGATCACCCTTCCTCAAAGCCACGAGGGAGTTGCTTTAATGTCACAGTTACAGTGATAAACTTGGGTAACCCATGATGTGCCCTCCTTGAATACATATGACACTCTCATCTCCTTATACAGATACAAAACAGTGTCTCAGTCTTGCAAAACCAGAAGTTCTACCAGGCATTTGAATTTAAGGCAGGTCTTTCAAGTAATAATTGGTGTGAACATAACAAATATCCAAATATCTTTACCTGCAGCCAAATGTCCCATACAGGTGAGACACATTCCTACCTTCAAAAACAAAACCAGAAGAATTTCAAGTAAGAGTCCAGGCATTACTAAAACAAAGTGAGCAGCAGCAAAAGGAAGCTACATTTAGGCAGGATTTTTTCAATCCATTGTCAAAAGATATATAACATGTGAAAGTGTATTCATTTACAACAGTACTTTGTTCATCCCTGGACAAAAGAAAAGGCTGTAACACATCTAGAAGGATCAAGATAAAGACTTTTGTTAAAGAGATGAGGTTTTAAAAAAACTGAGCTACATCAAATGGCTCTTTATGTAGAAATAAAATCTCTCAGCCTGCAAACAAACACCATCTCCTTTAATATAGGTATGTAAGACAATACTCAGTCCATGAAATACGATGTCCTTCTCATTGTTCATCTTTAAGAAAAATGAACTCGAGACAACTACAAAGAGAGTCAGCAGATTAATCCCTGCCCTGGAGCAGCAAAGCAGAGGCGTTACCTTTCTGAAGAAGGGCTGCATGGGCTCTCAGGGGTAAACACTGGAGAAGCAGCTAAATCACAGTGCTGAATCAAGAACAAATAGATTTAAGTCAACTAGAAATCAACTTAGAAACCTTCTAAACTCCAACTCACCCATTTGTAGAGCAGCTCTCCTCAGTTCTGGGGACAAAACACTGGACTCACTTTAAGATGCAATTCCATATATTTGCTAAGGGGATTATGTGGAACGGTTGCTTGTAGTAGCAGGCAGGGAACCAGGAGCCTTCTTGCATTCCTGTATCCATTCAACTGTGGAATTAGAATCCTCACTGCAATCGAAGAGTGAGGCTACCTACTCTGCTGTGCAAGTTGCCATTGCTATTGCACATTGATTGGATTTAATTGCTACAAGACTGAAGCAGATAATAGGAGTAAATGTTAATTCCTGAGGAGTCAAGGGAGAGTTTCTATGTAGATAAATGTCAGGAATCAGTACAGCATGGATGTGTCAGTCTGCCTGAGTCTATAACATCTCTACATCTGCAACGTGTCAAACACTAAAAGGAAGAAACCACACAGCACACAGTCCCTCCCTCCCACAGACATGCGGGAGGATGGCCCTGAAAGCATGTGGATCACTTAGATGACCCTACAGACAGTCCTGGTTTCAAATCTGTTCTGCTGGCAGACAGGTAATGAGGTCTCATTATTCTCTTTCTGATGCAACTAATTCAATCTATATACAAAACTACTGGACTTCCACATTTTCTAAATGTCAACATTATATATTCAACTTAACCTTGGAAAAATCAGGCCTGACTGCTTTTTATTTTGAAGTGCCAATCACCTTAGGAAAGGTGCAAAGGAAGAATTAGTTCATTTATCCTTAAGCAACCATCATTTCTTCAGGTTCATTTGCATCATCTGGTTATCATGATTTAAACGCAGTAGGAAGGGGCCACATTTACATACAATATTCATTCTAAATGTCACTGTATCTTTCTTAATCTTCTAAGGAAGATTCCATTTTCACATATTAATTTGCTTGGTGAGGATAACCTTTATCTTATTCACTAGGTATTACTGCAAATAAATTGGTCAGGCCTAAGTTTTTAAAACAGTACCATTAATTTAGATAACAGTATGTTAGATTATAAGGAAAATACAAACAGCTTCAAAGAGTCAAGAGAAGACAGAGTTTAATAGAGAATGGAGAACTACCTGAGTTCCTAATATTAAATTCTTTATATCTTCTGTATCTGAATCTTGGGTACTCAATCTTGCAAATACAATGAAAGCAAGAGAAATGTTTTTCGAAGAGCAAGCATTAAGAAATGGTGCGTATGAAGTTAAGCTGATGAACTTCTGAATTTTTGCTGAAGGCAATTTCAATGTCAAATTTCATTAAGGAATCAAACACTTGCTAGCACTTCATCTTAACCACTTCAACATAATCCTTTATGCCTTCAGCTCCCTCTTGTGGTATATAAATGGTGATCTGCTTCACTGACCACTCCTTAAAACATCTACTTGCCCAACAAAGTGGTTCCAGCAGCAAATCTGTAGAGGAGTTGAACATTCTTCCCAAGTTCTTTCTACAGCTTTCTATATATGTTCTTTGTCTATATTTTGGCATTAGTACAGGAAATCTGCAATCAAGATTTTAAAACTTTGTTACCTCTCCCCATATTTTGCAGCATCCCAAAACATACTGTCTGCCCAGCAATAATAAATAAGGTTCTTCTTTTTATTTCATTTGATAGATATATATATATATATATGTATATACACACATTACAGTATTTTTTCTTTTGTGATAGAGAATAAATGAGAGTTTTCCTTGCTGGTTGTTCATTAATTCAACAGATTCCAGTTAATAATGAAAAAATTATACATTTAATATCAAAAGCAACTTCAAGTATCTTCTATACATTTTAGTATTCAGTATATAGTAAGGTTGGTTCGGAGTTCTTTTTATTATTATCAAAAGTGGGTTTTTTTACTATAGTATCTTGAGAGTAATATTCCTAGCAGGCATGGAGCTTAAACTGATATATCTCATGGTCCGAAGTAGCTCTTCACAAGAACCAAAGGTCACTTGTACAATCACTGCATATGTTTCAAAACAGGGTTTACTCTTCTGCAAAGTCAAGATGCTTGTTTAGAAATACACTACTTTGTTCTCCTACAACAGGTCAGGCTGCAGTCCTTGATGGGAGGCAACATAAAACACAGCTGTTAGTAAAACACTACCTGATCCAGGCATAAATAGTACTGAAAAAGTTCCCAGAGCTACTCATCCCTTAACCTTTCTGTAGAAAAATACATCAACTTCGGCATTTATTGCACTAGTTTTCTCATACTGAATTGCTCTCATCTGCATTATCTTTTCTCTTTGCTTAACTAGGATTACACTAAGATTTTAATTTCCATGGAAAACCTGGGAATGGGGCAATAGACACACATAAGGTGTGCAATAAAGGGATGTCTATAGTATCAGTAATAATCTCAGAGGCATTCACAGGGGAAATTAGACATTAGATTTGGAGATCATTTTCTCCAATAGATTCATCATTCTCTCCTGTAGCTGTAAGCTTTGAACCTGAATGATGTTTTGCTGATCCAGAATCCTGCGCACTTCCCTGCAGGTTTCTTCCATAGCTCTACTTAACTTCTTCTGCTCTTCCAACATGGCCTCCATTAGCTTTAGCTTCTTCTTTTGGAAGCTGCAGCTTTGCATTTTCCTTTTCTTAACTGGTCTCTCTTCAGCTCTGAAAGATAAATATTTGTTATCTGTTAAACTCACATTAAAAAAAAAAAAAAAAAAAAAAAGGACCTAAAACTCAATCTATAACTAAGGCTTATTTAAAAACAAAAGAGTAAAAAATAATGCACCTCAATAAATTCCATCTCAATAAATTCCATCTCAGCCTCATGTCAAAACTTAAGTATTGTATAGAGTTACCGACTGTAAGAAAAAAGAAATTATTTTTAACAAGAATTTTTCCTGCAGTGAATGAGGAATACTACTTTCTTTTTATCTTGCCATTTCTTACACTTCAAGTTTAAAAGCTGTATTGGGAAAGACCTTTAGCTTATCTAGCTATTATATTTACTCCTGTTGTTATATTTTAAAGCATCTCCCCAGTGAGGCTGATCCCAGTATGGCAAACTAGATATTTAGCAATGGTATTTTGTGAGCTTGTGTTTCCATCGAGTGCATTTGCCAGAAATACAGTCCATGTCCTCCTTATTTTCAGAGAAGCTGGCGTGTGCTCTCAGGTAGAGTTCACATGGGCATCCTAGCTCGGGCTGAATCCATTGACACATCGGCTCGCTGCTTAGTGACACAAAGTCAGGACACTCACACACGAGATCTGTACCTCCCCACCTGTAATTTAAGAAAAAGTATGCTAGGCTGTGAAGGAGCGGAATCAGGTAACAGGCAAACATGCATGTGAAAAGCACACCTAAAAAAGCCTTCTGTTACGGACACGCAATTTGCTTTTCAGTCCACATCACTCTTTACTCATTCATTCCTTTAGTGACTCCAAACTGGAGACCCCAAGAACAGAGGTATGCAGGGATGGGTTCCAAAGGACCTCCAGGTGAGCAGTGGTCTCAGCCACGTCCTGCCAAACACGGCATCTCCTCCCCTCGGGAGGAAATGCAACAATGAGATAACACAGTTGTGAGCAGCGTGTCTGGTCAACACCCTGCAGGTGTCAGGGCTTCCTTAAACGAGGACACCAGCATAACCCGAAGTGCTGAGAAGTGTTTTTATTAAGGTGAAGGGCAGTGTGGAGGGACACCACTCATCTGTGCTAGACTTGTATCGTGAAAAGCTAAGCTCCTGAAACTCCTGAAACTAAGCTCCATCCTAAGCTCCTGAAACACTTAATGCTGCAAATATAATGAAAAGATATGGTCCTTTTAACATTCAAGTGTGCAATAATCTAAAAAAGGATGAGGTCTATAAAAAGAAACATGTGGGTCAAATGAAATGCTCTTAAAATCTTGGAAAAAGAAAAAAAAAGCTTAGCATAGTCACTTGAACATGATGGCCATACATGACAATCATGTTTGATTTGGGGCATCAAAGATGTGTGTCAATACATAAACTAATGCTCTTTGCATAAACTGTAGGTCAACCCTTCAGCTGGTCAGTGAGATTAACATAGTTGGACATCCTGCAAAAAAATGGGTCTTTGGTGACACCAAATTCAGTTTTGCCCCATTAATTCAAAGGGACAGGATTATTTGAAATGAGGTTCAAGTGAAGACATTGACCAAGTGGAATAGGTCTTCAGCAGCCTAAGGACAACACAAGATCTGTTTATTCCAGAGTTCCTGTCACTCCACTCACACTGGTAAAAGTCTGTACGCGAGGAGACAGTGATCTGCTTTCTAATAAGAGAGCATCATTTCAGCCAAAGTCACCTTTTGAACTTGATAATTTTTTCTGCACAGAGGAAGTAATTACCAGAAACTAGGCAAATATTTATCCTCAGTCCTATCAGTACTAGAGAGAAGCTGAGGTAAAAATAAAATAGGGTGGGGACAAATATTCTTTAAGATCTCCTATATACTCACTGGGTTTCTGTTTATAGTTAATAAACATAGCTTGGTAATTAGCTAACCTTCATCAACAACATTTTCAGCCACCCCTATCTTTAGTATGTTTACAACCTCATCTTCCCTGCAGCCACACTGGCCATCAAGGGGAGGGTTTCAGTGATCACTCACTACTCTGTAACAGGGACCTGGAATTTACAATCCTCTCTTCTGGCTAGATGGCTCTTGAAGGAGACCTCTTGAGAACAGGTCTACAAAGGAAGGAAAGAAGGATCTAAAGAACTTAATTTACAAGCAAAGAGCCCTCAGGGACATGGAATGATGCAAAATGTCCATTGATTGCTGAAGGAGTCACTTGAATCATGAAGTGTTTCCTAAGATTCAGAGCTATTTCCCTTGAGCAGTTCGAAGTCTCCTGGGCCAGGGAGCACTCTGCAGTGTCAACATCTCTTGACAGCAGAGAGGCTAGAGGGAAGCAAGCACACAAGACTCAGCACTGAGCAGCCAAACAGTACAAATATCATGAAATAGTTTCATTCAGGACTACTTCCAGCTTGGAAGTCTCTAGGCATCTGCGTAAGGATGATCAGTGTCTGCTGTAGCAAACACCCACTGGTTCCTGTTGTTGATTTTCTACACTGCATTTCGGTGCAGCCAACGCATCCCTAATGCTAAGGGGTGCAAGAGATCCTGAGAGAGTATCTGCACCCTCTGTGAAGGAAACATTTCCACCCTATGCAAGATCCAGTCCGGAGGGCAGCTTTTGAGGTCTGGACAAGAAAGAAGTCTAGAAAATCCAGGACCTCCAAGACAATCTGCTGGTACTCTTGGGAGTCCAGTGACCACAGCAAATTGTCTCCAAGAAAATTAGCACTGGTGTTTCCCTGAGCACACAAGAATAGAAAGCACAGAAGAGCTTTGCTTTGGCACCAAGTTCCAAGCAGAGCCTTGGAAAGCCGCGTCCTAACAAAGCTTCAAACCAGCGAAGAAAAACAAGGGATGAAAATGTTCCCCCTCACCTAGGAGGCTGAACAGAATTGGCAGTGTGTGCTGGACCAGGCAGAACAAAGTGACCCCTCAGATGCTATAAGGCAAATTGCCTTGGGGCTAAAATAAGATCAGTTCTTACTGATCTATCAGTAAGATAGATCAGTTTCATTCACCATTCAATTAAAAGTTCCTCAGTTGATGACCTACAACTCACCAAGTAAGGCTCATACCTCAGGGACATGTGTGAATGTAATGAAGCAGGAATTAAATGGGAAGAGTAATCCACTCACCAAAACATGTTATCTCCACAAAACCACACCAATTGCTTTTCCTTTCTGACTACTTCACGTCAAATGTCAGCAGCACCATCAGCTTTTGCAGTTAGTGCTCTCACCTGCAAACCACAGTTTGGGGCATGTTTGTGCTTTTCTAGGTAAGTACAAATCTGCGTAGACCTTCATAACCCGTATGCTTATGAAAAAAAAAGGAAGAACCGGATAACAATAAAGAAATATTAGAGATGACACAAATATCTTTAGAGTGTGAGGACTGAGAACCAGAGCAACCTGGATCTTCTGGTAAACTAGGTTCATCCCAATACAGCCAAATATATTCAGGATTTGATGAGACTCTTCCTTGAGAGAAGAGCCACAAAAATGGCTCGGAGGACGGGCAAAGCACCTTGCTGTGATAGCAAGTCTGCATAATGAGTTACGCATTCTATAATGTGCATAACCTAAAGCTCAGATTTCTTTGTAGCTGCTGCCCATTCAGATTTTGAAGAGCCATAGATTAATATCAAAAAGATTAGGGGTCTTGCCAAAATTGTTACCTCCTGAATGAGCATTCACACCAAATTTTAACACACTTCAAGTTCTATTACACAGTTCACATCTTGGTTAATTCATGTTAGCAATTCTTGCTGTTTCTGTGTATATAAACCTTCTGGTAGCAAACAACTCAACCTACCTTTTAAAAAACAAAAAGTACTAAAAGGAGATATGATCATGGTTTACAATTACTTCAAGAAAAAAAGCACAAAATACTGAAAGAATCTCCAATAGAGTGAAAAGTCAAACTTCCAGATTGTTACTTCCATGTATCTCACTATATTAAAATTAGAAATAAAACATTGATTTAAGCAAGAGAACAGTCATTAGAACCTATTTCCATAGGGAAGCATAGGGATTCATAGGGATTCTGTGTCATCTGAGTACATCAGAGCTACTGAATGTCCAGTGGAAAATTTCCCAACGAACAAATCACAGGAATGAAGGGGAGGACAACAGAGACATGGGGTTTCTCAGTGCAGCAGTCCACTAAGGGCAGCCAAAACACAAAATTTCTGTGCTTCACATCAGAGTAACTGGATTCAATACATGGATGGTGTTTGAACATATATACACAGTCAGTATAAAGTTCTGTTACTACTTTGACAATAAAAAACAAGACTATAAATTAGTCCACAGCATGAAAAAAAAGGCTTTCAACTAGATAAAATGTCATGTATATAGTGCAAAAGATTTGGCTTTTTTTTTCCTTTTTTAGACTACAAGACTGCATCACATTGCATTATATTACTGACAATAACTGTGTTATTGTGACATGTTTTTTCACATCTATTGCAATACAATGCAAGCTCTGTTGAAGCCCGAGAGCAGTGCAGGGACAGAACTGAACTAATAGCAGATGTCCCATTAAAGGGAAACAAGGATTCCAAATGTTTTTCTCATCTGGAAATAGCAATAAAAATTATTTGATCCTATGGAAATCATATTCTCATTAACTACAAAAATATAAGCTTTTTCTCAAGAAGCTCCTAAACTCAAGTAAAATGCAAAGAAAATTAGTTTAAACTATTTTTAGCTTGACAGTATGTATGTATTGATTGAAGTATAAATCTTGACATCTTTCTCCATCATGAAAATAAACATTCCATTAAATCCAGTCATTTATGTTGTTATCTAGGTAGCCTCATAGGACATGCAGGGATGCTATGGAAAATACAGTGCTTGCACTCAAAATCTCAAGTGCTTTTAAGGGACAACAGTACAATTTTCAGAAGTTTAAATAAGACTCTAAATATATAATAATTTATATACATATTATTTATATAATAAATGTATGTATCCATTATGCATGTGTATATACACACATACATACACACAGACACAGCTTGAGTTGTTTTCACTGATCTATTGTTGCCATTTTTACTATGGGAAACAAAATATTGTGTGTACTTGACCAATCTGTGTATAATCTTTTTCATTTAAAAAAAGGGATACACAGTTGTAAGATGCACTGTATTTCATAGAGATATATGTGCATGTTTTCCAAAGTATTTGTTTTACCTTTAGCTATAAAAGACAAAAATTGAGGCAGAAACTGGGCACCTGAAATGTTTTTCTCAATTCAAAATACAATATTCTCATTAGGTATTTTTTTAGCCTATTGGACTAACCAAGCAGTTTCTAGAGACAAGGTATTTACAAAAAAACCAAGATGTATCTTCATTTTCTATACCAATTCTTTTCTTGCTGATTCGTTTTTACCAAGTATTTTTGATAGGCAGTGCAACACACTAATTGTTTAAGCTGAAAATTGCTTCTTAACTCACGATTCCATTAGTGACCTCTGAAAGAAGCAGCTTTTCTGTCTTACCATGACAGCTGTAAGCGATTTCAACCCACCTGATATCATTAGCAAGTGGTATTTCAAGTGGTGCCTATAAGATCACCTCTCTTTTTTCCATAACACAAATACGCACTGGCACTTGAACTGACGAATACGGCCGTATCTTGCAGTTAAATGAGATGCACAATATTGAATTGCACAAAATCATAAGCACAGTGGCATGATCACAGTGGCATTTGTAGTTGGGGAGCAATGAAATACAGAGACCCCAGAGCCCTTGGGCAATCCCAGAGTGGGTTTCACAGCCCTCCTTACCCAACACCGGCACCACCACGGCCTGAGCTCCAAGAACTTCACGTTTCCAAGCAGGCCAAGTCAAGGTCAAATACCTTTCAAATACATTAAAGCCTAAATTTTTCAGACTTTTCACTATGGAGAGAATTCAACGAGAGTGTTTAAGCCCACTTTACCTGCAAACAAATAAACCCAGTGGATACATGTTTGTGGTTGATCAGCTTGGCTTCTGTGATGGTTTGTCCACATCCTGTCACGAAACCTACCGTGGGGACCTCTCTCCTTCTCTCCTACTCACCAAAACCAGTGTTGGCCTGGACATGTCCCCAAGCTGAGGTAACTTACTTTTAAAAATTACATTTTTTATGTTAACAAATGGTCTAGTGAATAAATACACCTCATGTTTACAGTCAAGTGACCTTTAAGTTAAATATTACATAACGTTATCAGAAATAAAATTATGATTTGAGAAAAAAAAATCCTTGCATAAGATGTGTGGTTGTGGAGCTTACAGACTCTAAATCAAGACAGATGATGTATCAGGGATATCACTAAATATGAACTATGATTAGAAAAAAAATATTACTTGTGAATAAAGAAGCTGCTACAGTTCTAGAATTATTCACAAGAATATATACTGAGATCCCAAAAATATGCTATTCAAGCACCATTTTTTTTGAATCATTGAATGAATTTATTCCTTTTTTCTTTTTTAACTCATCCAAAGTAGGCCTGGAAATCAATAATCCAAATTGGTTCCTCTTCTAGCTGAACAGTTTCTTAGTTGCGTGACTGACAGATAATTTTATTGTTATCGTTAAAGACTCATAGACCCATGATGGGGGTCTCCAGGATCACCTTTTGTTTTTCCTGACAGAAAACTGTAATCAAGTCTTATTTCCACAGTGCTCTGGATGAAAAAAGAGACCAGTAAAGTCTAAATTTTGCATCAACTGCATAACCCTGCCTTTTGCTAAAATTGTGCTTCCTAGGTAATTCTGATGTTATCAAAAAAGGAAACACAAACTTGTATTTTCAATTTTTCATTTGATTTGAAACAGTGACATTCTCAATTATAGTTAAAATGACCGTAATGTACTTTCAAACTGCTTGAGTACTACAGTTTCAATGTTCTCAGAAACATTTAGTTTGTATCTTTTCCACCATTTTAATAGCTGAAGTCAGTGAAATTTCATACTCATGAAATTCAATAGCACTAACAAAATCAAGACTAGAACAAGATAAAATATCTCATTGCACTGTTACACTAACTGGAGCATGTCCATGTCCATACTCCTATTACAAATACTCCTCCTCACGTGATCACTGACACGCATGCTGAATTTTGGCAATAATACATGACTTTTTGCCCGGTCTTCCTACTCCCTTCCAGTCCCTCATGAAGGAAGGAAAGAAGTGGCCTAGTTTAGCAGAATGGCTGCAACTGGAGAATTTATCTCATTTATGATTTACCGAGATGCTACAACAGTCATCAGAGAGAAATGTTCTAGAATCTTTTCTTCCTTCTGCGAAATATAAGAAAGGAAAAAGAATTAGTTGCTACCTCAGCTTGTAAGAGAGTAAGCTGGACGAGCTCTCTGAATGTTCATCTTCAAAGCACTCTTCCCTTCCTTCATATGTAAACTGGTTATATGGCAAGTACAGAGGTGTAGACTTAGCTGATGGAGACTGTGAGGCCTCCGTCTGTGAGGTGGAAGGACCTGGCTGCTGATTTTCATGCATTTTCACATCGCTGTGGTCTGTCACTTTGGATAAGATCCTATCAATGGTTTTGTAGTAAGGCCAGTCAGGTGCAACCGTTTCACTGTCAGTCATACATTTTAATTTCCTGTAAGAAAAGGCACACAACATTAATGCTTGTCGTCCTTTAAGAGTCATTACAGAACTTGCACCAGTCTCCCAAAATATTTGTTTTCATTGCAGTTAGAAGCCAAAATAAAAATTGTTAATGGGACTAATAATTAGATTTTTTTTCTTTAAATCTCCACATATATTGTCCAGATAAGATTTTATACAAATAAAGAACACTAGAGCTTCTAGTGGGAAGGGGAAAACAACCACATTCATCACAGTAATTTCTCTCCCCCTTGCACCCTGCCACACTAACCGACCTGACAGAGCTCTAAAACAAGCAGGGCAGGGAGCACCTCACTGCCTTTATCAAACTGAGCAATTATGGTAAGTCATTTCCTTCCATGTGTCAAAGAACAAATATTTATTTTCCATTATGAATATAAGGGTCTATAATTAGAATTAATGTCCTTTTCCTACTATATCCTGAAAGTAGGATTGCTCTGCATTGCTCTGATGAGCATCCTAGTGACAGCCATCAGATGTGGATTTCCATATACCTGTTATAGAGATCGATGTAGGAAGAGGCATGAATTTCATCCAGTTATTAAAAAAAGAAGCAAAACCAGTTAATAATGCATTATAAACAGCATGTATTAAAACATTATAGTGAAAAGAACCGCATTATCCTTGGGAATAATCCCAGGGACATCACCTTGTTCTGTATGTGCATCTTATTTCTCAGTCCTAATAGCACAACGCTCACTCCAGTCCACTTGGTACACACTGTTATTTATTTTTGATTTGTTTTTACTGAGAAATAAAAAAAACGAGGCGTACGGATAAGTTATGCATGTTAAAGAGACTTGATTGCTGAGACAGTCCCCAACTTTCTCTTCATTTGCCTTTCAGTTGGGATCTTGGTGCTCCACATCAAAGTGCAGTAAGGGAACAGAACAGGAAAGGCAAGACCAATGGCAAATGCTTCATTTTTATAAGCCAGACATTCAAATCACCAGTTGAACCAAAGCCTGATTCTCCTAGCTAGGATGAGGCTTCTATTCGCAGGAAAATAAAAAGAGTAAGAGCTATTCTTGGGCACCTGGCCCATCTCTTTTTCTTGAAGTATTTCACACACTTCTCCTCCTCAGAATCCATCCTGCCCACACCGGCCCTGCAAAGGACAGAATCAAATAACATGTAAACATGCTAAAAATGGATCCAAACTTAAAAGTGAGAACTTGAAGTTCTTCCTTTAAGCAGCTCTCAGCCTAGAGGAAAAGAAAATCCACTGTTGAGGAGAGAAAGGAAAAAAGGATTTGCTTAGACTTTAAAGCAGTTTAAGGATTCTTCTTTTTTTCTCTTGTACTTGCAAGGTCTGATGAGCTTTTCCAGCTATTTGGAAATGCACATCATCGTCCTGCATAGCAATGCCTCCACAGCCATCTGTATTTGCAAGCCCTCTATGCATTCCAAATTTTAATTTCATACATGCTTCACAACCTGCTGCTGCAATTTCATAGTCAGAAAATATGTAGCGCAAGCTACGCAGGAATACATATCCATCAAGCACAGATACAAAACAGCTAAACACCAGCTTGACAGCAACTATCTTTTAAAATTGATTATTTTTACATTGTTTAAGCTGTCTGCATTAAAAGCCTATTAATTATGCCACCATAAATGTCTAACCACGTCCACATTTCACATTGTTTTGTCCATCTTCCACCCCCCCCAATCTATTTGGCAGCCTCTTTTACAATGTTCTCACCCTCAGCTGCTGATGCTCATGCAGTGGGTCATTCCCCCGGGGCAGGGTGAAGTTCCGCAGCTGCCAGCTTCCCTAGAGCTCCTTTTGAGCCTTGAGAGCTGCAGGACATTGTGCCACAGGGCAGGCTGCTTCCCCTGCTCCCAAACAGGACCCTGAGGTCTGCATCAACAGAGCTGCTACCCTGCTCAGCCAGTGCCCTGCCTGTATCGGTGCACTGGGGCACCTCAGGCACAGGACTTTGGATTTTTCCCTGCCGAATTTCCTGCCAGCTCTTCCTCCCACCTGGCTAGGCCCCTCTAGATGGCAGTCCTGCCCTCGTGTGCACAGGCTGCACCCTCGTGCTGGAAGTCAACTGCAGGACACTGAGCTTGGCCTCCATCTCTCGCGGTTCCTCTACTTGGAACAAGACCCTCAGGGGAGTCCGAGCCATCAGCTGCCACCTTTTCAGCCCTGTGATCCTGCTGGTTTTTCACCCCTCTAGCAGGCTATCCATCTGGAAAGCACTTCTCCAAACTGGAAAAATGAATGGTCTGGAGAAAATGGCAAAACCTTTCCTACTAGCTAGATGACACCCCCTGCTCTCCCCTCATCCTCCTACCTTGTCATTTCATCACAAAAGGCGATCAGGTTGGTCAGAGATGACTTACTCTTGGTAAATCCCTTCTGGCTATTCCCAGTCACCACCAAGACGACTCACTCTACAACCTTCCCTGGGAACTAAAGGGAAGATGATCAACCTGTAGTTCCCTGGGGTATCATTCCTGCCCTTTTGAAGTGGGTGCAACACTCGCCTTTCTTCAGTCTTCAGCGACCTACCTCAATCCTCGTGACTTTTCAAAGCTAATCTCTGACTCCGTCCTCTTCCACTACTGGTAGTTTCTCTATTTTACACATTTATTCCTTTACTACTAAAATAACACCTGAAATACAATAGTAAGCAACTACTCCTAAAAGAACACGTAGCCTAGGTCCCAAACCAAGGCAACTCCAAGTAATCCTACCTTGCTTCAGACACAGATGCTGTGTGAAGGATCATTCCAAACACATCAGCTTTCAAATGTTAATTTTGCACTAGAACAGCACTATTTCTTTAGCATTATATATTATCTGAGTCTGAGCTAAATGTTGGCATCCTGAGCAAAGTTTTCAAGAGTAGGATTCTTGTCTGAAGAGGCTGTCACTTCATGTTTTATGTTGAGCTCAGACATGTACCTAGAGTGCCACTTAGGACACAACTATGATGCTCACATAGCTCTAGAGCTGCAGCTACATAGAGCCAGACATCTCCCTGACCTAAAGGCACCGTATGGGTACCAGTTCTTCCAGCCCTAGGGGGAGAAAAGCGGTCCCTATCACAAGGTGTGCAGGAAAAGTTTGTCAGCTCAGAAGTTGGACCAGCAGCAACTATCGACCTGTAGAGAGTTGGGTTTCTGTGTAAAGAGAAAAGTGTGAAATCACACAGATCACATAGAAATGGATGGGGAAAGCAGAAAATAAGGGGAGAAGTCGTTATCACTACTTTGGAAAAGCAGCAGGAACACTGTTGGCAGAGGGAAGTGAGGAAAATTCACTGGAACAGTGGTGGTGATTTGTTCCCAGAAAGGCAAAACAAACAAAGAAAAAAAATTAAAGAGCTAACTTGGTCCCATTGATAGCAAGCTCTGGATTCACAAATTTTGCAGTGTTTTCTTCTAAAAATGACAGAGGATTTCAGAAAACCTAGCAGGACAGCTGAGATTTCTTGCCTGCAAACATAAGCCCAGCAGAACCAAACAGAAGTTAGAGATAAGATGCACTCACTTAATTCAGTCATCATAAATCACAGCAGGTCCTTAGTTGCATCCTAACTGCAAAGGTTTGCTTTGCCTTTTCTTCTCTTTATGAAAAACAAGACATTCATAAGGAATCAGGATGATAGCAAGGTTGGGACACAATAGTCATGAGAGAGGAAGATGACTTTAACATTCAATACTGATCAATACTGAGTGAATGAGCCAGGGAGAGAAACAAGTAGGAAACAGGGATAAGAAAGAAAAGCTTAGAACCTGCAAAACAAAATCATCATGATTTTATTCAGCATAGCAGTTCTGTTGTTATTTCATGAGATTCCATTAAACTCCGCCTGGAAAAGAAGCAAATACCCAGGGATCAACGTTGAGTTTCCAGTGGACAAACACCTCAGGTATGAAAAACACAGTCAGCTGCTTAACCTGCAATGTGGTTGTCCATTTTACTGGGGAGCCGTGAATGAATCAACGGGCTTTGAGATCCTCCTAGACAGACTGCTGAATGGACTGAGTCACCAGCTGAGCAACTTGTGCTGCCACGGGGCTCTTTTTCAGACTTTATCTCTGTGCTGATTAATGCAACTTGTAAATTAAAATCATGAAAACATTATGTTCTAGAGAGATTTTTAAAATCATGATTTAGTCAGTAAAAACATCCATAATTTGCTTTTCTTCTTATTGCTCACCACCCGATTGCTTTATTATTATTATTATTACTACAGTATTCGGTATTACTACTTGCCTTAAGGAATGGATACAGGATTCATCTCCTGGGGTTTCTGAGAAAAGCTTTCAAAATAAATAATATATAACAACTGCTCACGAACCAATCAATGGTGAGGGAAAGAAAGATATATGAAAGTACAGTACTTAAGTTGTGCGTCTGCTATAAATTATTGAAACTGAAGAGAAAGCTGGTAAAATATTCAAATTTAACTTTCTGCTGTAATTTGGCTGCACTTATCTTTGATCATTTGCTGTAGCAAAGGTCAAATATTCCAGTTGCTTAATGTCACAGAACATAGCAACGAATCACACAGGCAACAGTGTTTAATTGCCATCATGTACACATGAAAATAAAAAATTAGACTAATCTTTTATTCAAATCATGAGACTGATTCAAATTTACCAATCATTAACATTAATTGACTGCGATTCAGATCAAAAAGCAGCAGCTGCATCCTGCTTCCTAGGCTTTGGGAAGGGCGATGCTTTTGAATATAATAAATCTGCATTTACACAGTTCTCATTTTTAAGCATGAGAAGAAATCAGTCAGAACCACAGACCACTGTGCAACCTCTGCAGACCCTGTGGAATTCTTTTTACAAGCCAGTGCATATTGTGTCAGTAGAAATATAACAACAAGAGATGCACTGCACCCTTAGACATTCAGATCAGTGTATTAGCAGTGACAGGAAAGCACTTGCTTAGAGAAAGAGCAATTATAGGGATATATATATATTTATATATATATATATATATATATAAATGCCCTTATAGGGCTATAAGTGAGTGCCCCAAGTAGCCCAGGGCGAGGGAGGAATCCAGCCCCTGCTCCAAGTGATGCTGAGCAGTAGGATGGGGCCCATGAGGGGATTTTTGATGCTGATTGTGATGTCTACCTCCTCCAAGGCACATGCAGAGGGAGTCCATGCAGCTCCCTACACACCTGCCTTTAAAGCTGTTTTCCACCCAGCCAAGATAACTATGTTCCACAGTGGATGAAATGGCCCTTCAACATCCTGCAAGCCCATGCTGAGTTATTTTATGATATATTTTGCCCTGAAATAGCCTGCTCCAAATGCACTTTGCCTCTCTATAGTAATGCAGGGGACCTCAGAAACTGCTACCTGAGCAGCCCAGTGCTCCCCGGTCTCTCTTCAAGACAAGTTTTGAGGGGCTGTTTTAGAACACTGCTGCCATCATGATGGTTGCTTCCTTTTCCACTGCCAGCCAGTAATAACCCTGAAACCTGTTGTCTTTTATAATTGTGTCTAATTGGAAGACAGACAATTCCTGCATTTTATTTAATAAATGTGATTGTTAGTTAAAAAAAAAAAAAAAAAGCACAACCTACTACTCTCTTGGCGTCAGGATTTTCAGTGGCAGTGAATTGCACATGCTGTTTATGCAGTGATTCAAATTTATACGATTTTGATTTTACATTTCTCATCTCGCAATTTCAGTAAATAACTTCCTGTCTCGCAACAAGAGATGCACCTGCTTTATAATCTGAAAATCAGGTTTTAGGCACCCCTAGAACTCCTTTCTATTTATCTCCCTTCTTCCCAAACATGTCACAAACTTTTCTGTTTCCTCTTAGCAAGGAAAACTTTCCACCCCTCATCCTAACCATATTTTCTCAACATCTTTCTCCTGTCACCTCTTTGAAATATAGGGCAGTCAGAAATAAACACAAGAATTCAAGGAGGAGATAATGACATAAAATAGGTTTATCTAATGACATTTTAACAGCTGAATAACACAACCACCCTAAAATTACTTCTGAGACAGAAAGCAGCTCACGTGGCCTGAACTTTGATCTGGCAGCACAAAATTCCAGGCAAAAATGAAAAGGGAGCCAGGAGCCAAGGCACATGCTTGGTCTGCCAGCCCTTGCTGAGCTCTGCAACGAGCACGAGCGGATTTATATTAACTGCAGCAACTGCAAGAAGTATTGGATGAGAAATGCTCCTCCCTCCCTATGTGCAACGCTCCTCTTCTCCTTTTGATTTCTTCTGCACAATGACTAATGGCTTTCACTGTGCCACATAAGCAAAACACTATTTATAAGATTAGGTTTTAAAGCGCTACGCAATCCGCAGATTGGAAAGCACCATTGTAAATGCACTGGCTGTCAAAAAAGAGTTTTGTATTTTAGATCCTTTAAAGTTGGAGGTCACGCGTATCCTTCCATCAGGAGATGTCCCAAAATAGAGTTTGCTAGTGGTAACACTTTCAACAGCAAACTCGGTTAACAGGACGAATAGAAGTGTTCAGGTACTACTTTTTGTTTTACAATATATAAAATACATAGAGGCACAGAGGTAGGTACGTGCAGCAGTTTGTGGAGAGGACATTTTTATTTTCTGCACGAAATCAAAGCACGTTGCTATAGAGGATTATTATCTGCTCCTACAGTGTTACCAGATGCCCCCACCAACCTGCCAGTGGGGCCTCCTCCTTGCCTGTCACCTTCCACAAGTCCAGACCAGCACAACAAAATAGGGCCCCCAAACCCTACAGGATGCCCCTTGCTGGTGAAATGCAGATGGGTGACGAGGCACCTTCTCCAGGCGTCCTCCAGGCACCAAAACGGGGACTTTTTAGGTGCCTTTAGGCATCTAAACGCCTAAAGAGCATTCAGAGTTTCTCGGCAGCACTTGCCAGCCTCATACCTGAACAAAATGTATCTAGAAAGCTATGGGCTGGAAGTCGGTGCTTCTGCTTGTGCCGATGCTTTTGGCCTCACCTCCCATGCAGTGAGCAGCACCTTTGGATAGCAACAAACAGCAAGAAAGATGCACGTCCCATTCGAGTCCACGGAGTGAAGCACCAGCATGACTGCGCAGGGCAATTTTCAAACTCTCCTGAATTAGCCTCCTAATCAGCGGGCAAGACAGCAATGTGCATCAGAGGCGACCCGAGGAGCCCGCAGAAGCATCGCAGGAAGAAAGCCAGGAATGCAAAAAAAAACGGCAGAGTTTCCGCACGCGTGCGCCGAGCGCGTACGCGAAGGATTTTACTTCTTCCCTTCCCCCGATGCAACTTTGGAGCAAAAACACTAATGGGAAAAACGGAGACGGCCGGACCAGTGACAAAATTGAGAATTCCGAACAAAGGCTGACAGAAATAACCTATCGCACAGGGCAATTCCATCACCCAAAACAGGGCGCAGCGCTGCTCGACACCTGCAAAATCCCTGGGAAGGAGCCTGGGGAAGGCCAGGGAGGCCACAGCACTGGAGAACCATGGGATGGGCCCAGAGTACGGGCACCAAATATGCCCTGATTTCCACCTTTCTCACCTGCAGTCTCTGTAGGGAAAAGTGCACGGATCAGCGTAACACTTTGAAGGCATCAGGCTTCCGTGCAAAATATCCAGTTCAATATTACCGGGAATGATCTTCCCAATTATGCTTGCGGATCCTGCAAACGGAGCAGGAGGACGCTCCAAGTTAAGGGGTTTAGAGGATTTCCCCCAGTCTCCCAGCGGAGGAGCAGAGGCTGCACTGAGCCCGACGAGGGTGCCTCGCAGGAAAGCCAGCCCTTTTAACATGGTTGCCTGCTGTAATAACCCTTTTTATTATTAATACGAGCGTTGAGGAGCGATTAAATAAGAGAGGCACATATTTGATTTGCTGGCATTACAAGCCCATAGCTGCAATCACCGCGCAGGGCTTGCAGCGTGAGGCAGTCTGTGCCTCCCGGAGATAAGAATTTAAAAGGGAAAGAAAGGCGGGGAAGGGGAGACAGGGAAATCTTCCTGTCCATTCCCCCTCCCAAGGACACGCACACAAACGTCTGCCGTTCCCTCGGCCGACGTCCCCCGCTGCCGCCCGCTCTTCCCGGTGGCCTCACAGGCACCTGGGCCCCGGGCGAGGCGGGAGCGGCACGGAAGGAGCACATGGAGCCCCCGGCACGGAGGGAGCACATGGAGCCCCCCGGCACAGCCCGGGCTCCTCGGAATTGGAGCGGCGTGTGTCGCTCCGCGGCAAGACGCTCCGTCACCCCCGGCCCCACGCACCGTAAACCTCCAAACCCACAAAGCGCCCCCCCTCCCGCCCCCATTTTTTAAAAAATAATCAAGAAATCAAGGCACGGCATTCCCAAATACAGGATTTTGCATTTTTAACTTTTCCTCCCAAGCCCCGTTCTCACTGGCCGCTTGGAACTGCAGTAGTTTCCCCTGCAAGGAACTGCTGCCAAGCTAACACAATCAGTCCCCTCAGCAGAAAGGAGGGGGGAAAAAAGAAACAGAAAAGAGGAGAAAAAAAGAACCCCAAATAACCTGTTTTTAGCACTAAATGCATTCCCACCCCTCTATTTTATAGCACCGCAAGTTAATCACAAAGCAGCAAAGTTGTCCCAGAGTTTGAAATTAAAGGGGGGGTGGCAAAATTAACAATGACGTAACAGCACTGGCAAGAGAGAATTTTAAAAGCGATATGAACAATCTTTAATCTTTTATCTACAGATTTCCTTCTATAGAAGGTGACTTCTTTCCCAAAGGCAAATAGCCCTGCGGTGCCCCCGCTAAAATCTCTTAAAAGAAAAAAGAGAAAGAAAGAAAAAAAAGAAATAACTGGAGCTTACCTGTACTGGAATGTCATATTTGTAATTTTTATCTTTATTTCCTCTCCGTGGCGAATTTCTCCCGTCATTTCAAAGAGTTTGTTAGCCATTTTCTCATAAACTTTGGCATTCCTTTTAGTTTGTTTCAGTTCATCAAAAAATTCTTCCCAAACCAGCATTAAACCTCTCATTTCTGCATCAGTCCAGTTTCTGGCCCTTCTGTGTTTCTCAGTCTGAGAAGAAACAATGTAACTGGGAATTTCTGCTGCAGCCATTGCTGACTGACCTAAAAGGGTTTTAAAAGAGGACACTTAATATAGATTGAGTTTTTAGTTTAGGTTTTTGTAGTGCAAGACATGCATATGTGGATAAAGAATTTGAATGACAAGAGAACATATGAAACCTTTTTGCAACAGCTTGAAGCTTGAGTGCACAAAATGGGGCCTACATCTGACAGGCAGGAATTTAGTTAAAAGCTTTTAAACAGAGAAACGTCATTTTGATGTCACGTTTCCATAGCAACAGAGCAACTGCATAAGCTACAACAACAAAAACCTTTTAACTGAAAGCCAAAGAATCAGGACAAAGTTGACAGGCCATCAATATTAAAGCTTTTAAACACTTTAGGTTTAACAAAAAAAAGATCTATGCAGCCTTTGAGAAGCTACTTTTAAGTTTCTACTTCTTTTTAGCTCTCCCTTACCTTTTAGGCAGACAATCTGCTGGCGGGGGGTCATGGTCGCCTGAACGAGCTTTTAAGTTGCGCCTTGACAGACTCTCTAGGAGGTTGCAAGGGCTGAGGCCGTGTACACAAAAAAAAAAAAAAAAGCCAAAAAAAAAAGCTTTTTTTTTTTTTTTTGCAAAGATATTCTGCAAAAAGCTTCAGCCAGCTTTATGAAAACTCTACCTCTCTAGGCTAATAAATGTTTAAGCAGGCGGGCTCATTAAAAAGGTGCCTGCATCTGTTTTTAAGACCACGCACAAAACAGTATTTAAGTGTTTAAATATATATAGCAATGCATATGCAGTTTTAATGTAAAGCCACTTTTTCTTTTTCCCTTCCTGAGATGTTTTGCTGCTGATAAGCACACACTGCAGTCCTGTCAGGATGAATTTGCCTTTGTAGGTATGTATTACTGTGTGTGTATTTTGCATTCCCGGTAATTTAGATGCTATTTATGCAGCCTGTGTTCTGCCTTAGGACTGCAGCAGAAGCATTTCACCTGCTTTATGGGGAACCTAAAAGGATTATTCAACGAGTTAAAAAAGGCTGCAAGACGCTTAGCGCCGTGAATAAATTGCCTTGCTGTACAACAAGCCTCTGGAGCTGCTTTCTCCATGGGGCTGCGCTCTGCGAGCGGTGGGAGCAAGAGGCAGCGCCTCCTCATCCCGACACACCATGCAGCAGGACGGGCATCCCTCCTCATCCCGATACACCGAGCAGCAGGACACGCATCCCTCCTCATCCCGTTACACGGTGCAGCAGGACGTGCATCCCTCCCAATCCCGTTACACTGGGCAGTGCAGCAGGACGGGCATCCCTTCTCATCCCGTTACACGGTGCAGCAGGACGTGCATCCCTCCTCATCCCGTTACACCGGGCAGCAGGACGTGCATCCCTCCTCATCCCGTTACACCGGGCAGCACAGCAGGACAGCGGCCGCGCGCTGCCCCCGCGCGCTGCCCGCGGCTCCCGAGACGCTCCTTCCCCGCGTCCCTCCAGCAAGCCTGCGGTGCAGAAATTAATAAATAAAGACGGCACGGACCTCTATTTGTTATTATCTTTTCTGTTTCGGCATATAACAGCAATAAGGACCTCACTGCAGGGCATTTCCTGAAGATTAATGACAGGCAGGGGTTAATGGCCTGAGGCTCACCCAGGCAGTCGTTAATCCCCAGGAAATGTTCTGTGCCTCAATCCTTAATGCTTAAGTATCCTATAAATTGTAAGTCTTCTCATAACCACATCCTTGATCTTAACAATAGTTTAAAAATGCACGGCTTGGTTTGCATCCTGGAGATGGCAAAGAGAGCACATAATGTTCCTAAAAGGTACACTAATAAAATTTGCAGTCTCCTAGCCTTCTTCCCATTTTATTTCTTCTATTGTTTATTACAAATGGCACAAAAATGCACCATAGAATAAGGGGGGAGAGGGAGGGAGGCAGGGAGGAATCTGATATGCTGGATATAGGAGCTCCCAGTGGTCTAACTATGAACATGTCTCTTTCAGAAATATACCTGCTGAGTCACTGGCATCCTTAAAAAAGAAAGGGAAAAAAAAGAAGAAAAAGAAAAAAGAAAAAGGCTTCCAAACACCTACTTTTAACTACTAATACAACAGCCTAGCAACTATTACCTTTAAAAATGTGTAAATAGCAGCATATGTTGTCATGATGATCTCGCATGGCTTGTCTCTTGGGTGGCCAGCTGGGAGACATCACATGACCAGGGGACAGATGGTGGTCAGAAGAGGATCAGCTGGTGACAGGTTCATTTTATTAATTTATTGTTTTGTTTTCTTTCGAAATACCCATCACTTAACCTTGGGTTCCATGCAGCTAAACTAATAAAAACCGACCAAATTCCATGGATTCCCTTTGCAGCCAGCAACGGGGGGTCAGTAGGACACATTTAAGGAAGAAACAGTGGTTTAGGAAAAACAACCACCGGGCTCTTGCTGCCAACCAGGGCCTGATTTGAGACCCAACTCTACGCATCCTACTCCAAAGCCTACCATGCTTTTCAAACTTGTTTCATCCATTAGAGCATTGCTTTTACCCCTCCAGACATTAATCCACCTGAAAACATTGATTCACACTGCTGAAACACAGCCTATATCTCTGTTATATAGGTAGCAAAAAATAAAATCCCAAGTTAAGTATGATCTCCACTCTAAGGAATTTGCCCTGCTCTTTCAAACCCAGCAGCTAGCACACATAAGGACAGGACGGCCAGGGTAACATGTTTTCTTTCTCTTTTTCCCCCCTTTTTGGCCACAGGTGCCTTGCAGATGCGCGGCCGCTTCCTCCGCACGGCGTCACCTGCGAAGCCTCGGCTGCCGCGCTGCCTCCTGGCACCACAGCTGACACTCACACACGGGGAGAGCGCTACTGAGCAGCCGGGAAAAAAATAAATGGAAAGCAAGCAGTGGTTTCCAGTATTGCCTCGCTCATTCCCCTCTGCTCGGTAACAGAAGGGGATGGGAGTCTCCAGGACTCAAGTTTTACCCCCTCCTCTGAGGACTGTGTGGAGTTATGGAGATGCCTCATGGTGCCCTCTGCATTGTCCGGGCCAGGAGCACCGATCTCGGAGGCCTCCTTTGGAAGAGACGTTCCCTTGGACGTCTCCTCAGCACACGGGGCGCTCACAGTCTCCGTTTCCCTGAGGGCAGGCCGGTCACCGACCCGCCAGAGCAGGCGGCACGGCGGCCCTGCCAGCCCCTCAGCACCAGGCGCTCACACCAGCACCGCGGCACTTCCCTGCGCCGCCTCCTCTCGCCACGGCCTCCTTGGGCATCAGTCCTCTCCACACAGAGGGGCAGAACAACTGCAAGCGGCTGTTCTGCACAAAGAGGAAGCTGCTTCACTTGGAAACCGCGGCCTAGGCTCGCTGAAGGCCTCAGCGGAGATCCTGAGACATCCTTGCGGAGACACCTTCCCCCAGCAGCAGCGAGCGCCTCTTCTCGGCTCTCCGGTTCAACTCGGTGCCCTCCTCTGACACGCACTGCACTGGCAAGTCCGGAGGATATTCCCTTGCTCATAAAACTCCAGGGATCTAAGGGTTTCACTCACGCGTCTCCTCTCACTGCCACATCTGCCCCTGCGAGCGCGGGGCGGCGCGAAGGCAACAACTCTCCCAAAGTTTCCTCTTCGCATCCCCTCTCCAGCCAGCTTATCCTTCCTGCTGCCGACTGCACCAGCTGGAAGAGCAGCTCCCGCAGCTGCTCCTCCTCTCCCGGGCATCTCTAAGGATAACACACCCCAGGCCAGCCCGGAGCCGGGTGGAAGGGTTCCTCGTGTGCAGAGGTGGATCTAACGCAGTTGGCCTGTAAATTGCTACTAAGGAATTTGGAAAACTCAGTCATAACATGTGTGTTGGCTGCACTTCATGTGATTTGTGATAACCAACTGCACATATGGTCTCTGGCTTTGCAAGTGTGGGCTAAAGCTACATTAAGCTTCCTTTCACCAACTTCAAGGGTTTGTCCCTTACTTTTGCCTAGAGACGACAGTTATGTTTACCCCATAACCTCATGACACACTTTAATAACCTCAGTCATTAAAGTGTGTCATTTAAAGTAAGTCATTAAAGTGTGATGACATGTGGGCATGTCTGACCCTGCTGTTAGGAACTGGGAGAGAAAAAGTCAGGTAATGCCTTCTCCACCAATTAGAATTTATGGCATTAAGGCCCAAGAAGTTTCTGCACCTTCTTCTAAACATACTTCCACACTTGAAGTCCAAACAGCGACGCATGGAGAGGTAATGGCTCACAGTTCATTCGGATTTCACATACCAAAGTACACTCATTTAGGCTCATGTAAGTCCTCCAACAAGGCTCTTAAGGTCTGATGGCAGTTGGCAGCAAAGACTATTTGAGTCACAGAGACTCTGGGCAGTGACCTCGGTGGGAGGAGGTCCCACCTGGAGATGCAGCATTCAAAACCCTCAAAGATAGAGGTGCATCTGTCCAAAATGTGCTGCCTGAGGGTACTTTGGTCCTGTAACATCTCAAATAAAAGTCAAAAGAAAGTTGCTTGGGCCCCCATGACCTGGGCACATTGTTCAAAGCAGAGTATCCAAGGCACAGGCTGGTCCCTGCTAGCTGAAACTCGCCAACCTGTCCCACCAGGAAAGACACCCACATGTGGATGGTGCTCAAAGAGGCAGTCAGTGCTGAGCACATGCTCCTCCTCCACGTTACATCTTTGGCAAAAACACTTTGATAACTCGGTTCAAAAGGCTGCAAGGATGTGTTAAGAACGAAGGCATCTGGGTTTTGCACAGCACTGGGATACTGTGTTTTAGGTCAGTGAAAGCTGCCTGCTTATGTCACTGGCCTGGCTCCTTCCCCGCATTTTACTGTCTGCTAGGCTAAGATGCCCTATTTCTAACCAATTAGTACAGATGCTTTTAGTGTCTCTAATTGCTTCACAATGCAACTTGCAACGAGTAATGAAAGTAATGAGAGAAGAAATACATTTCCATGGATGCTGAAAAACGTGGCCAGAGGAAGCAGGCAGGGATAGGTGACCGAGGAGAAGAAAACTCATTCTCACCTCCT